ATCCAGGAGGGGCAGTCCCATGACTAATTTCTCACCAGGCCAAGTTGGGCCTGGCAGGGTCCTGAGAGGTACCCAGGGCAGCCCTCCTCTTGGAGAAAAGTGTGGGAAAGTCAGCAGACTGGTTACCAGCCTTCATTGCCATTTCTTGGGAACAGTATATCACCCATAGGTTTGTTAACACACTATCACCTTTTCTGTCTTTGCAGAGAAGTTTATTCCTCACAACTTACCATTAGCAAATGTAGGTCTTTGACATTAGCAGAAATCAGAGATTATTCCATAGAAGATCCTTATTTCAGTCCAGTGAGTAAAGGCACCTGCAGTCCTGGCTCTCTTGGTATACATTCCCCAGCTACAGGACCCTCCCTCCATCCATGGGTTTAGACCCATGGAATTACTAGATTCCAGATTCCTGGGGTCTTTCCATTGGTCTAGGGTAGCATTTTCCAAAATCCATCCCATGGGATGTTAGTGTGTTTTGCATTAATAATGTCTCTGTGGTCAAACACGTTTGGGAAACCCTGGGTTAAATAAAACTAAACAGAATTTCTTTATCACAAGACTTTTCGGAGTCTTTATTTGATAGTAAGAAAGATTAATTCCTAAGAGAAAATACAGTTGGCAGTTTACCAAACTTATTTGACCACAGAATTCTGTCACATTATTATGTTATTACTAATGTTTCAGAGACTGTAATGTGTGGAATAAGATACATTAGGAGGTACTGAACTCATAGAAAGCATATCCAGCAAGGAGTGTGATACCTGAATTCTGTTTCCAGTTTTGCTTCTGCTAAGCCTCTGGGAAAATCATTTCACCTGACTGGTATCAGGCAAATTAACAACTGCATTTGAGAAATTCTTTAAAAGGATATCAGTGGAGAATAAAAGTGTAAGGGATGATTATCCATGTTATTAATTTAATTGCCTTACTCAAACTTTTCTCAGAAACTCTGAATAAAGGCTTTTGCCCCATTGGAAAATGCATCAGTTTATAACCAGACTGCAAAATTCATGAGAAATTTTCCATAGCTTCTCTGAGGAATCCACAGAGAGTGGAGGTCTTTGATATGATAGAGCAAGAAATTACTGGTATTATTACACTGTAAATTGAAGATGACCTGTATGGGAAATGTGCCTTTTCAGTTGTTAAAGAGAATGACTTGTCGTCTTTTGAAGATGTATACTTCTTTATTCATGCTTGCCAAACACACTTGCAGACCCCAGGTGTCTGGACAGGCATCAGCTGCTCACATCACAGTTCTCTCTCTGTCCTCGCCATGGGCTGCAGGGTGTGCTACTCTCTGCTTACTCACCCGGCTGCTCACCAAGTCCCCTGGTAAGTGATTGCTAAAGGGTCAGAGGAGAGTTCCCAGCCCTGCTCCTTCTGGCCACCCCAGTTTCCATAGTCCTCTTGCAGAGTTGACCTAAGACAGTCTTTGTTACAATATGCAGTCCTTTGAGCCATTCTTCCTTTGGGTACAGCCTAAGCCCTTTGCAGTTGGCCCTGAAGGCCAGGCTAATGGCTCAGATCTTATGCAAGTGTCCCTGAGGTTTCCACAACTCCTAGAAACTTCTAGTATCCTTAGTCCACTGTAGTTGGGGACATCTATTCTCTGTTTCCATCCTCAGGACTAAAGTACTCCCAACGGCCATACATGCTGCTAATTATCCATTAGTTTCCAGCTAAAGAGAGGTTTGGAGTGAAATGTATCCACAGGGGACACATGTGTGTCACTTGTGGATTGTACATTGTGTGTAGTCTACCATGGGAGATAAATTGAGTTAATTCCTGTTTTGGGGTTATCCCTCAGAAGAGAGTGAGAAGCCCTGGGATACAGCCAAGCCAACAGTGAAGTCCCCAGGCCCAGTCACGATGGGTCCATTACCCCCTGAGTTTGGTTCCTATGTGTCTCCAGGCAACAACTCCCATCACCATGAATGGGGGACCCTGGGCAGCACTAATCTCATTGTTAGGTTTTTGCGTAGTTTGAGGATGGGCTAAAATAGCTCTGTATCAGTTTCCTGTTGGGGCCATAACAAATGACCACAAACTGTAGCTTAAAGCAGCACACATTTATTGTCTTCCAGCCTAGAGTCCTAAAATAAAGGTGTGGGTAGGGCCACGTTTGTTCTGGAGGCTCTGGAGGAAGAAGCTGCTTCTTTGCCTTTTCCAGCTTCTACAGGCCACTTGCATTTCTTGGCTCATTCTTCGCTTCCTCCCTCTTCACAGCCAGTGGCACAGCATCTTCACATACCTCATTCTGACCTCTGCTTCCATTGGCACATCTTCTCTGACCTTGGCACTCCTGTCTCCCTCTTAAAGGACGTCATGATTACGTTGAGCCATTCAGATGTTCCAAAATAATCTCCTCATGTTAAGATCCTTAACTCAATCATAACTGCAAAGTCCCTTTTGCTATGTGAAGTAACATATTTGCAGGTTTGGGGAATTAAGATTTGGACATCTTTTCAGGCTCCGTGATTCTGTCTACCTCAGGCCCCCTCTGGTTTTATGGTTCTGTGCATCTCCCAGGTAGCTTCACAGCCCTCACTTCACACATTTGTCAGCCACCAAGGCCTGTGCCTCCTTGACCTTTAACCTACGTGGAAGTCTGCTTGCATTATGAGTTTCTCACTTCAAACATCAGCTGAGTGTGAGCCCATCTGTAGGAGCTAGAGTGCTTCATTTTCAGAAAAGGGAGTGGATTCTCTGGAAATCCAGTTCCTCGGCATATATTATGTGAACATTTTTATGGGTGAGGTCACACTTTGCTCTGAATAGATGGTACCAGCAAAGTGTCAGCCCAGGTCTCAACCTAGAAGTAGAATTAAGCCTTTCTTCCCATCCCAGGTGACTTTCTCTGATTCCACAGATGGACTGCTAAAATTCCAACAATGGAAGAAATGTTTTACCTTTTGGTCAGGTTTTGGCTCTTGCTAGGCCTGAGTTTATTGCTTTATCTTGGTTCTGCCTGTCTAGGTATTTATTTCTAATCGTTGTTTGGGAAGCTCTATCCACCTGTGTTGGTCCCCGTGGTCCCCAGCACACATCTCAATGCTCATGATCTGGGGGACAGCTGGAAGCTTCCATTTTTTTCAAGGAGGAAAATAATCTACTCGTAGCACACCTGGTCTTCACAGTCAACAAGAGACTTACAGCCTAGTAGCCACCCCTTCAAGACTTGTACTGAGCACCTACTAGGTGCAGGCATTGGGCAGTGCTGCCATTATTTCCCAAGGTTTAAGGGCTTTCAGGATTCATTTCCTTCCCAGAGTCAGCCACCCAATGAGCAGTTACAAATGCATGTCTAGATTACATCACCTTGTGTTTTAGCCACGACAGAGAGGATAGCTCGTAATCCCTTTGCCCCCTTCCCATTCCCCAACCTCAAATATGTTTCAAGAAATACTCATTTAGTTATCTTTCACAATTTCTTTAAAAATTATAAAATACAAGCATTTTATAAAGTGGGTAATAAGACAGGACAAATAAATTTTACTAAAGGCAGAGAGGCATGGCATAGATTTTACCAAGCACACCACTCTAGCACTGTAAGGAAGAAAAATTGTTTCTATAATAAATTCTACTGTGTGCTAGGCCATGGCCCTGGACTTATTTAAAAGTATGTGTAAAAGCCAAAGACGTGAAATTTAAGAAATCCTTAGGATTTGGTAGGGGCCAGGCTGTCTTTGTTTTGTTTATTGGGTTTTTGGAAATTTAAGGCTAGGCTTGTTGCTTTTCCAGCCACAGAGCATGGTAAAGTAAATGAAACTCGACAGGATTTCATTGTTCGGATGCTGATCGCAGCTTGGCACACATGGAGTTCCATGTATACCTTACATGCATATTGAGCCCGTGTTTAAAATAGTATAAGTGGGTATGAAAAATTTAAGTACAGGCAACTAAAGAATGATTTGCAACTACAAATGAAAGTAGCTTGGATCTTTGAAGGCTGCCAAGTCCATGATTGGTTAGGCAGGGTGAGATTGTGTGAATGAATCAGCAGGCAGACTTTGCCCTAAAGCTGAGTAGAAAATGAAGTATGGAAATGATGCATAGGCTTTGGGGAAACCTGCGAAGTGTAGGATTGATTTTGATTTGTGTCTTTGTCCAGCTCTATAGTTGATTGGATTCTTGCTGGGGGAGGCCCATCACCTCAACCCTCTGGGGCTTGCCTCTGGGGCTTCCAGAAATAAGCTTAATCTCTTTCCTGTAGCAGCCCCTCAGACACGTGGGGGAGCAGGAAAGCTCTCAGGCCCTCCTCAGATTGCTCTTCCTCAAATTATACAGCCCCATATCATCCAGGTTTTTATTATAAGACACAGCTTTAAAAAATTCATTGTAAGTTAGTCATTAATTTCATGAATGTCTTGATTTGTGGGAAACAGAGATGCCAGTGTCTTTATAGTTCATTCCCTTTAGCTCTATGTTTCAGGGAAAATATGTTGAGTGGATAGCAACAAAAAGCGTATAGGGGACAGGGAAATCGCCCCCATTCACATATTGCTCCCAGCCCCCTTTCTTACGTGTTTCATTTACAGTTCTTAACTGTTTAATTTACTTAATGTCTTGATTTGGCTTAGCTAGAAAGTGCGTGTAGAGACACTTGACTAAGTAGGCAGTTCCTTTGCTAAATGTTGGCTTCATTTATAACTGGAAGAGCTTTATCTCTCTGTTTTCAGATCCATGAGCTTTATAGCATAGAAAATCTCCTGAGAAAAATCATCATCTAATTGGAAAAACAGGCATTTTATTGAGTTAAATCAAATTCATAATCACAAATAATTTTGAACATGTTTTTCCAGCATTTATAGCTCCATACCATGACCTATATGATTATTATACAGAGCTCCTAGATGAAATTAAATGAAATGGACCAGAGCCGAGGCAGACGCTGGCCTTCCCTGCAAAGCTGGGTCTTTGTTGCTGGTCTCCTCTCTTTCTGGACATTACATAGGTTCTGGCCTCCATGGAGTAATTTTCCACTTCTGCTGCAGGTAGAACAAGTCAGCCAGTTGGCCGTGTTCATAGAGGCAGCATTAGACTATCACAAACAGTCCACAGAGATTCTGCAGGAGCTGCAGAGCAAGCTACAGATGCGGTAAGCGCCTCCACGTTTCTTACAAGCCAAGGGCTGTGGAGGTAACATCTATTGAAATCCATGTGTCTATCTCTCCATCTCTCCATCTCCCCTTTCCCCCACCTCATTCTGTTCTGAATTTTCTTTCACCGGCTTTCATGGTTGGATGTGGGATGGGACTGAGATAATAAGTACTGGCTTTGGCCAATAGGGTAGAACTGGGAAAAGGGACCTGGCAGCTTTTCTCCTTTTTCTTTTCATTAAATCCCTTTTTTGGTGACCTGTGTTTAGGGCAACTAACCAAAGTTGCTCTCCCACCTGGGACATCAACTCCTACAGAACTACCCTGGCTTCACTGCTGATTTGATGAGAGTTTAGCTCTCCATTCACAAAGAGTTGGAAAACATCCAGAGCTATGGAAAAAAGTGAGATGCTCTATGGAACATATGTAAATATCTGTTTTTTAAAAAAAGATAATGTTTTCACTTCACCAATACGAATTTCAGGCTATGTTCATATTATTGACTGGTATTGAAAGAGTCAAAATATTGACAAATTTGAGGCTGTGTTCATAATATTGACAGGTATTGAAAGAGTCAAAAATATTTTCTGAACAATCAAAGAAAGGTTTCTGTGTTCCTTGTGACTTTAATAATAGATGTAGTCTATACTTTTCTGAAAATTAGTAATATCATATCCTGTTTGCATGGCAACCCTACTTATTAGAATATTGGGTTAAAAATACCCTGTTTTTAAACTAGATTTGATAACAGAAAATTGTTTTACACAGGATTATGGTAATGCATAAATTTCGAGGGATTTTTACTTAAATCAGTGACATAGTTACACAGGGAAGACAAAGATGTGTTAAGTCCCTGAAACATCCACTTCTGCAGGCAGATAGTTTACCTATTACTCACAGGAGTGTATTTTCATAATTCTATTGTAATCTATAAGAGTAGAGTGAGGGAGAAGGCAGCTCCCATCACTGGATGCTGGCTGCGTCCCAGGCACTTGCTGGATGCCTCAGAGACTTGATGAAGAAAATTAGTCTTTGTTTTTGAGATGAAGTCGTGCTCTGTTGCTCAGGCTGGAGTTCAGTGGTGCGATCTCAACTCACTGCAACCTCCGCTTACTGCAACCTCTGCCTTCCGGGTTCAAGAGATTCTCCTGTCTAAGCCTCCCGAGTAGCTGGGATTACAGGCGCCCACCACCATGCCTGGCTAATTTTTGTATTTTTAGTAGAGATGGGGTTTCGCCATGTTGGCCAGACTGCTCTTGAACTCCTGACCTCAGGTGATCTGCCTGCTTTGGCCTCCCAAAGTGCTGGGATTACAGGCATGAGCCACCATGCCTGGCCCAATTAGTCTTCTTCAAGATGAATTTCACTCACAAGCTCAAATAGAGAGTTGAAAAGCTACATTTGTGATATCACCTCCATCACTTTCGGCTACTCAAGAGTCAGTGTGTAAAAATCATCCCTTTCATGACCACTGGCTGTAACCTAAGTTCCTATACTCAACAAGGCAGAGAGAATGTGTGTTTGGAAAGCTTTCAACATCAGATTGTCTGGCTCATCTTATGATGTGTGTTACAGAATATCAGCTGCATCCAGTGTCCCCAGACGAGAATACAAGCCAAGGCCTGTGAAAAGGAGTGCTAGTGAGCTCAATGGGGTTTCCACCACCTCTGTAGTGAAGACGACAGGTAAGTTTACCATTCTAATATGCTAAGTGTGCCTTTAGTAAAGCACTTCTAGAAACACACACTTACGCTTGTTTCTGGGTCAGTGAATACACACAGACCCTGGATATCTTTCTTTGGTTGTTTGGTAAGTTCCCTTTTCCCCTAAAAGTGCCCCTTTTTTTCTGTTCCCTGGGGAAGAATTCTATCACTTATATAATGTGGCATTTAGAACCTTGGCCATAGAACCATTATTGCTACATCATCCTTTATTTTTTTAACTCTTTGAAAATATTTTCTTAATTTATTTTTAAGTTGAAATTAGCATTTTTGAGCAACTGTTATATGCTAGATACTATCTTAAGTGCTGCATCATTATTTTTTATTAAACAAGTGACGCAAATGTGTCTTTTAGTAAAATAATCAAACAAAAAAATTGGTAAAATAGTCACACAGAAAAAAGATTTAATGGTGTAAGTCATTCTATAGTCTCTTGTGATTACCCACACTATCCCAGTTCACTTCCTAGATGTAGCCACTGTTAAAAATTTGGTATAACTATTGTCATATCTATTGATGTACATAGATATGCACATAAATACAGCGTTTTGGATTTTTTTCTGTTTTTTCTTTTTTTCTTTTTTGAGACAAGGTCTCCAGGCTGTAGTGCAATGGCATGAACATGGCTCAGTGCAGCCTTGACCTCCTGGGCTCAGGTAATGCTCCTGCCTCAGCCTCCCATGTAGCTGGAGCTACAGGCATATGTGACCCTGCCAGGCTAATTTTTTTCTTTTTTGTAGAGACAAGGTCTCACTTTGTTGCCCAGGCTGGTCTGCAACTCCTGGGCTCAAGCAATCCTTCCGCCTCAGCCTTCTGAAGTGCTGGGATTACAGGCATGAGCCACTGTACCCAGCCTTGTTGCTGTTTTTTAAATGCGAGATTATACTAGGCATATTGTTCGGCAGTTTTCTTTTTAAAATGTATCACTGTTTCTTGGAGTTATTTCCATATCATGCATATAGATCTATCCCACTGTTTTAACAGCTTCATAGTTTTCTATTATACCATTTCCCTATTAGTGGACATTAAGGTTTTTTCCAGTTATCCACTGTGCTGGCTATGCTACTATGAAAGCATGAACACCTGCTTCTCCACACCCATGCCAGTAGACTTCCATTTCTGCCAAGCACTCATGAGAAAAAAATGGTATCCCGTCTTAATTTGCATTGCCATGATTATTAGTGAGGGTGAACTTTCTTTTCTGTATTTTAATTTGTATTTCCTTGTGTCTGAATTGTCTGTTTATGTCATTTATTTGTGTTTTTTGGGGGTAGTTTGCTTTATCTTGTTGTTTTATAGGAGTTCTTTCCATATGGGAATATTAATAATTTTTTTCCCAATTTGTCATTTATCTTTAAACTTTGCTTATGGAGTGCCTTGTCTCTTTGTTGCTTTTGCCGTTGTTTGCTTTGTTTAGTTTTTCTTCCAGTATACAGAAGCTTTTATTTTGATGTAGTCAAATGTATCTGTGTTTTGCTTACGACTTTTACATTTTGTGCCCTGTCATGATTACATTTTGTGCCCTGTTGTGAAAAGTCTTCTTATCCCTGGAGTTACTTTTCTATAGTTTTCTACTACTTTGAATAATCTTTTCTTAATATTTAGATCTTTATCATGAGGATTTCTTTTTGTAAATGAAAAGAAATTCCCAAACTATCTTTCAGAGTTGTGCTACTGTTTCACATCCCCACCAGCAATGCATTAGTGATCCAGTTTCTCCACATCTCTGCCAGCATTTGGTGTTGTCACTATTTTTTATTTTAGCCACTTTGATAGGTGTGTAGCGAATCTTATTGTGGGTTTAATTTGCATTTCCTTAGTGATTAATAATGTTGAATATCTTTTCATGTGTTTATTTGCCATCTGTGTATCCTCTTTGGTGAAATGTTTCTTCATGTCTTTTGTCCATTTTCTAATTGGATTGTTTACATTTTGACTGTTGAGTCTTGAGAATGCTTGATTTATTCTAAATACAAGTTCTTTCTATATATGTGATCTGCAAATATATTCTCTCTGTAGCTTATCTTTTTATCCTTTTAACAGGGTCTTTCACAGATCAAAATTTTTAATTCTTATGAAGTCCAGTGTATTCATTTTTACTTTTATAGATTGTGTGAAGTCTAGGAATTCTTTGCCTAACCCTAAATACTAAAGATTTTCTTCTATTTTCTTTCCTTTTTTTTTTTGAGACGGTGTCTCACTCTGTAGCCCAGGCTGGAGTAGAGTGGTGCAATCTCAGCTCACTGCAACCTCTGCCTCCCAGGTTCAAGCGATTCTCCTGCCTCAGCCTCGCGAGTAGCTGGGACTACAGGCGCACACCACAATGCCCAGCTAATTTTTGTATTTTTAGTAGAGATGGGGTTTTGCTATGTTGGCTGGGCTGGTCTCGAACTCCTGACCTCAAATGATCTAGCTGCCTCAGCCTCCCAAAGTGCTGGGATTACAGTTGTTGAGCTACCATGCCCGGCCTCTCCTATGTTTTTTCTTAAGTCTGTGATCCAGTTTGTGTTAATTTTTGTATAAATGTGAGACTTAAGTTGAGATTCATTTATTTTGCCTAGGGGTGTCCAATTGCCCTTTCAAACACACATTGCTCATATAAGCTGCACAGTGTGAATTTTCTTCCATCCCTATTGCTATCCTTAAAGGTTTTTGGTTTTTTTTTCCATTTAAAAACAAAAATTATCAGAGTAATATGTATATGTAGTTTAAAAAGAAAATGGTAATATGCGTATGTGGTTTTACAAATGCAAATGTAGTTACCTCTACCTCTGTGTGAAAACATGGGCAGGCCCCATTAATTTTCTCATTAGTAAAACTATAAATTATCAGAATATATGTGTATACATTTTTAAAAAAAACATGGTGCAAGCTTTTCCGTGAGAAATGGTAGTTTCCCCTTCAACTCCTTTCCCAGTGCTTATTTTCTGCTCTCAGAGGAAACACTTTCAACTCTTTTACATATTTATTTGGTACTTAACTTCATGATGCTTGTTTTTTACAATTTCTTGATTTTTCAGTTTTGGATAAATGTATTGATTTCCTGATATGGAAGATAAAGGCTTAGCTTTGTAACCCTTGGTCTTCCATAGACTTCTCCCTCCTTTCACCCTTCCAATTTACTTATAATCACTGTTATTGTTAAATAAATATTCATTGTATAACCATCACTTCCATCATGTGGGACTCTTAAAATGCCCTCCTCCCCTTTTTCCCTGCTCTTATTTTGAATTGCCTGCTTCTGGATGAAAATGTGAGCAGTCTCCATGGCTTCTCTGACCACTCTTGGTTCACATAAGTTCTCCAGTCACTTGAGTGTGTAAGTGCAGGCTCGTGCAGTAGTCAAAATGCTAAGACCCATGTCACAGTCAAAGCTTTCATCTTGATTTAAAGTTTGGCTTTCACTCCTCCCCAAGCTCTGGCCTGTTGCAGTGGGAACACTGGTGTCAGGGAAGAGGTTGTCTTTGGCTTTTTCTCTTTCCCCATCTACCCCTTCTGTTCTTAAGTCCCCAGAGAATGTATTTTAAGCTCCCTGAAGAATCTTTTAAAAGTCCTTCTCTCTTGATTTGGTGTGAAATGAAAAGGTCACAACACATCCTGCCTCCTCCACACTCTCTCCAAACATTTTTCTAAAAATCCTTTTTAATGTCCATCTTCTGACCTGTTAATGCCATAGATGTAGGCTGGGATTGAAAGTTACAAAATTGGCTTCCCTCATCTCTTCTCTTTTCGTTTGTTTCCAAATCCTGCATAAGTTGTCTTCTGCACATCAGTTAAAACAAAGAAACAAACAAACAAAAACAGTTCTGGGGCCTCATCCAAAACTTCCATTTTTCCATCCTCTAACACTTGTTTACAATGTCGTGAGCACAGAAATAATATTCACAGCAGTATCACATAGTATACTATCATTGCATTTCTATTCTTATACAATTGTTGTTGTCTTGATGACTGTAGCTTTGTAAGTTTTGAGGTCAGGTTCTGTTAGTCCTCTAACTTTGGTCTTCATTTTAAAAATCGTTTGACTATTCTAGTTACTTTGCATTTTCATGTGAGTTTTAGAGATCAAATTTTCAATGTTTCAAAAAAATCCTGCCCAGATTTTTATTTGGATTGGGTGAATCCGTAAATCAATTTAAGAGGTATTGATAGGTTAACAATATTGAGTGTTCCAGGCTGGGCGCGGTGGCTCACGCCTGTAATCCCAGCACTTTGGGAGGCTGAGGCGGGCGGATCACAAAATCAGGAGATCGAGACCATCCTGGCTAACATGGTGAAACCCCGTCTCTACTAAAAATACAAAAAATTAGCCAGGCATGGTGGCAGGCGCCTGTAGTCCCAGCTACTCTGGAGGCTGAGGCAGGAAAATTGGGTGAACCTGGGAGGCGGAGCTTGCGGTGAGCCAAGATTGCACCACCACACTCTAGCCTGGATGACAGAGCGAGACTCTGTCTCAAAAAAACAAAAACAAAAACCAAAAAACAATATTGAGTGTTCCAGTCTTGAACACAATCTATTTTATTTCCCATTTATTTAGGTCTTCTTGAATTTCTCTCAGCAATGTTTCACTATTTTTAGAATATATACAGGTCTTTTAAATTTTTGCATCAATCTCTAAGTATTTTATATCTTTATGCAATTGTAAACAGCATTTTAATAAAATTTCCATTTCTGAATTTTTGTTTCTAGCGTTCATAATATTCCATTGATTTTTGTATAGTGATCTTGTATCCTGCCATGGTGCTAAATTTACATCTTAGGTCTAGTAGTTTTTTAATAGATTCCATAGTTTTTCTACATAGATGTTCATGTCCTCTGTAAATGAAGACAGTTTTACTTGATATCTGCATACCTTTGTTTTTCTTGCCTTTTTTCACTTGCTAGAACATGCTGAGTACAAAGGGTTAGAGTGGACATCCTCGCTTTGTCTCTGATTTTAAGGGAGAAGCATTCAATACTTCATA